CCCCCCCCCCCAACGCTGACTTCTCATTACTTCACACAGGACTCGTGTCCCTCCCAGCACGCCCTGGGCGGCTGGAATTGCTAGTCTTTGAAAAGACGTTCACCAGCCCATGGAAACGTCAAAGAAGCTGCAAGATACCTGCCCGTGGGACAGATAAAAACACCTGTAGAGTGGGACTAAGTGCCTTCTGCCCAGGGGAAGATGTAACGCTCATCAGTATTTGAGGCCATGGGATAATGATTTAAATAGATGCCGCAGATGTCTCGACCACACATTCTACCAGGCCAGCGTGCTGCTTTTCCCCGCGTCTGCTCTCCGACGTCCCCTCCCTGCTCTTCTGGCCATGCTCTGTGGCCGGGCAGGATGGAACCCTACGGATGGCACAACCTGGTCTCCCTTGCAGGCTGCTGGCCGACTGAGCTGGGTCAATGGCAGTCACCAGGAGGAACATGGAGGTGGGACAGAGAGGGAGAAAGAGAGAGGTCCGGGTGTTTCTTCCCGGCTCCCTCCTAGGTTTGGCATCAGAGTTTTGGCAGTTACCATACCCCGCCGCCATCTACCCTATCCCACCGCCATCTTCCCTATCCCGCCGTTATCTGCCCTATCTCGCCCCCATCTGCCATATTCCGCTGTTGTCACAGCTCCTGGAGAGCAGTCTCCTCTCAAAGACGATGAAACACGATTTCCTCCTCTCCCTTCTTCACCCCTGGGGGTGGGGGCTGCTTGTGGTTCTTGTCGCTCTCCAGGTACCCCGGTGCCTACAAGCCCGCCCACCTAAGTCATCCTAAAGCCCTTCACTGAAATCACTAGACTTGAATTCTGTTTGCTGCCACCACTGTGATGGCTAGAGGCAGGAGCTGGGTCATCAAGGTACCCGGCGTGGAGACCAGAACAAGGAAATCCCCCAATAAATACTTGTTGAATGAATGTGCTCCTGGGATGCCGGCTTCCCTTGCAGGAAGCAGCAGAAACATGCAAGCTGGAGTGTCCCACACCCTGTACTCCACAGCTGTCTTTCCCTTCGAACATTAGGCAGAGCTTGTCCCCCCCAAACCCCTTTCTCCTGCAGACTTGCACGTGCCGCAACTGGCTTTGTGCTCAGGCTTTAAACACCTCAGCACACATCTCTCCAATCATTCATTCACTGAGTATTTATAGAGCCTGGGCTGCAGAAAAAGCATTTACCAAGGTGAGTGAGGCCCAGGGCATTTCATCCTGGGGTTATTTAGGCAGCTCTTGCACATAACTTCTGTTCAACTCCATTTGATGGAAATTGGAAGCATCCACCGAATTTCAAGAAAGAGGCCGTGGGACTGTTGGCCTAGGTTAACACCAAGCGCTAGCTGCGCAGGCAGCAGGCCATTAGAATCGGTCCAGCATCCAGGAAAGTGCATGCTGGTAAGTGTCGAGGTTTAAATTGGAAAGAAAATGATTATGAATAAGAGGGAGGAAAAAAGGTAGAGGTATAAGTAGCTCAGTCTCTGTGCTTTTCAGCAGCCACCATTAATAATGCATTTCCGATATATGACATTTTTATAGAACTGTCTTTGGTCCCCTCGATGGTTTAAAGTAAGGTTTCTGAGATCAATACTCATTCGGGTTGTAAAAATTGGTTTTCTATCATATCTATCTCTCCTCCTCTCTCTCTCCTCCTCACACGTTCTTTGTGCAGTCTTATTCTTGGCACAAATACCTGAACGTCTGAAATAGCAAGGATCTCCGACTCCGTCTTAAGAGTGAAACCGTTTGCTCTTGTGTGGGTGAAGGAAAATGAGCGCTTGAATCCGAGACAGAAGGCCTGCCTTCAGAACCCAGAATAGTTTTCCCTAACAATGGCAACACACACGCACATAGGCATTAGGATAACCGGGGAAGGATGGGCTGTTTGCTCTGGATTGTGTGGTCTCAAGATGATGCTAGCCAGGTTCCCCACCCCCGCCCCCACTACTCCCCTTGGCTCTGCACACGTGCCCACAGATGTGCTGTTGAAAAACAAAAGGAGGGCAGGCAGGAGGGGAGAGGTGAGGCACAGCCATGCAAATGAGGAGCCAATTAGCAGAGAAAACAAAGGGGGAAAAAATGCCCTCATCAGGGTTCCAGGTGGTGGCAAGGTGCTATCAGGAACCAGGTTGATTAAAACCGACTGTGCAGGAAGTTTTGAAAAAGGTTTTCAAGTTAGCCGAGGCAAGGGCAAAGGAAACGCTGGCCCCTTGGGGTTTCGGACACCTGCCTGAAGAGCCCACGCCCGCTCCTTACCTCCGTGGTGGAAAGCACAGTGTCCTCATCAAGGCTGAGCACTGCATCTGTGACGATGTTGTCATAGGGCAGGAAACGGCTGCTCATAACCTGGGGTGGGGAGAAAGCAGACAGGAGGAAAGGAATTAAAGAAAAGTAAATTTGGAGACCCGTTTTCAGGAAAATTCCCCCATCCTCACCTTCTAAAAGAATGTTCTACCACCGTGTCATCCTTCAACACTGAATATTTCCACTTCCCATCGGTGGAGAATCATGTACCCTTACTGGGCACCTACTGTGTACAGACACCTTGCTAGTCAAAAGGAGGACAAGGTAAATAAGACATTTTCTCCTGTCTTGGGAAAGTTCACAGTCCGCAGCCATCGAGATGCCGCTGACCAGTCCTAGCCCGATATGGACCATGCCAGGGGTGCAGAGGACGCAGCAGCCAGCCACTTGGAAGCGCAGGTGAAAACCTTAGAGAAGGCGGGACATTTAAGTAGGACTTGATGGACAGGAATCCACCGGGTATGAAAAGAAGTGAGGCAGAAACAGCGCTCAGCAGACATAAGGCACAGAGGAAAGAACCAGTACCCTGAGGCCTGGAGAGAGTGGATGGATGGAGCCATGATGCCAAGTGTGGGGCACACACTACTGGAAGGCCATGTCATTTCAGGAGGTGTAGACACACATTTGAAAATTCTACTCTTCACTGATGTTAGCACAGATGAGAAAATATACATACACAGAGATTAGTGGCTATAGCAATAACAGGGAGCAGTAAACTTATTCAAAAATAATTTCACTGAAACGAAAAGTAAGCTGATTTATAGAAAAATATTAAATAAACATAGCACATGTGGTCTATGGATTTAGGCACACTGTGAAGGTACTATATGAATAAAGTTTGGGCAACTCCAGGATAAGGCATGGTGAGGTGTGTGTGTTTTGGTGGGGGGGTGGTGGTGGTGGTGGTGGTGAGGGCTTTGGGGATAAAGGGACCAGCTGGTAAAATTAAGTCTAGAAAGACTTCTCTATGACAGTCATACCTTCGACCTCTGTGCTGAATGTACCACAGGATAACTAACCATGAGAATGATGATGTAAGAATAACTAACATGGTAAAAAACCCATTTACTTTGTGTCAGAAATGTTCCAAGTTCTTTATACACGTCATCGCATTGCATCTTTATAATAACCCCATTGTACAGCTGAGAAAATTAAGGCACAGAAAGGTTAGATGTCTTGCTCAAGATGGACCCACCAGCATTGCATCCCAGATGGTGAGCTTCTACAGAGCACCTCATCCACCATGCTGGACCTGCCTCAGGTTTGACAAGGACCCCAAAAGTGAATTGGGGGCACATAAAGTGATCTCATATTCACCACCTTCCTCTGGAAATTATATTCACAGTTGTGACATCCTCTCTAAATTCACACTTGGAGACTGAGAGAAAAGGCACATTTGCCACCAACTTCCAAGGCACAAAGGGCCAGGGAACACAGCAGTTGGTCATTGGAGACAGAGGGAGAAGGGAGACCCTGAACCTGGCTACCAAGGGTCTGCTCTCCACAAATCTGAGGCCCCCAACCCCCAAGAAGCTAGCTCATCCATGAACCCACATCTCAGAATCGGCTTCTGTGCCTGTGTAGCTACTGGAGGGCTTCTGACATCAAAGGGTGGGAAGTGCCCACATTTCCCATCTCTGGGAGCTCAAGGGATGGATCTGTAGCATAAAAGGCTCCAGGGTCTGCTCCTACACATCTGTCAACTGGGTCAAGTTTTCTTTTTCTTTTTCAGGCTTTCAAAATAAAATAAAATAAAATAAAATATAAAGTGATCAGCAACCCCATATACACAGTGCTCAGAAATCTCAGCCTGAAGCAATTCTCCTGATACTGTTTACATGTCCACTGACTAACACAGAAACCATTAGCTGCCAGCTTAGTGATGCCCTGACCTTTCCCTTGTTAAGTCTTTAGGGGGAGAGCTGCAAAGACAAGGCCTATAAATTCAAAAGAGAATTTTGCAGCCAAAGCAGCAAACACATCAACTCTAAACTCAAGGCTAGATATGGAAATGTAAAATGGGGAATAAGGAGACCTATGACTCCTTTCCCATTATGTTCCCAACCACTGGTTTTAAAAGGATCCACTTCCTTTTTCTGAACATGCTTCATCGACAGAGGTTAAGAGTCCATAATCTAGCCACTTCAAATTCTAGTGTAGAAACTAGATGCTCTCTTTCAAATACCTTGCCTCAGCTACATTCCAAAAGTTGAATGCTTTAGCATGAAAGGAACTGGTGTACTTACAAAGTCAATCCTGAGTGAACTGGCTTTTGCTTGTTAGTTCGTGTAAGAAACAGTTAGCTACCATATACCAGCCCAACCTCTTCTAGGATTAACAAAAATGACTACCAAGACTCAAGATGTTTATTATCTAATGGGCAAGATAAGAAATATCCATAAGCAATTATAGAAAGAACAATAAGAGTTAACGTTTACCGAACACTGACCACGTGCACACATACTTCTAAGCGCGTTTACAAGTACAGTGTTGTACCATTTGATCTTTTAGCTACCCTGTTAGGTATTATGATTGCTTCCATTTACTGAAGGAGGAATTGAGGCACAGAGAGTTGTAACTCGTCTTACGGTCCATGATACGAACATTACAATACCTCCGCAGAAGAGTAGCTGACATTTATTGTACTCTTGGTGTATAACAGGAACCAGGCTAAGCACCTATAATGTACTATCTCACTGAATCCTCAAAATGGGCCTGAGTCTTAGCCTAGGATAACCGGAATACAGAGCCTTAAGCAATACTTAATTGAGTGCAAATGCTTTACGAGGTGGTGCAATCCCAGAGTAGTGGGAGTGAGAGCAAAGGAATCACATGGCCCACTGGAATCAGTGGCCAAGGTGGAGGCTAGGACTCAACAAATGGCAAGAGGCCACAGATATGGCGGGGAGAATATGAAGTATCTTATAAGCTACATCTGATAAAACCCACTGTCTCGTAAATAAAGAAACTGGGACTACTTGCAGGGTAAAAATATAAAATCAACCAATGAATCTGTGAGCCATAGAAGTCAGAACGGCTCCCAGTTAGTCCGACTGGAACCTGTATGGATATTCTAACAAATCCAAAGGAAGACTTCTTTACCAGAAGACCTAGTCACCCATGTAAGCACAAAAACAATGAATTTCCAAGTCCAAAGTTGACAGCATGCATCTGAGCACCATTCAGGACCTCAGGCATTGGCAATGGCGTGAAAGATGTATGGGATTATAGGCGGGAGATTTTTGTGCACCCATCCCTCTTGTAAAACCACATCTGTGGGGAGACGGATTTCATAAGAGTAGGTAAGACGCATGCCGAGAGGCAGGTGATTTTCTAATTGCCATCTTTACTCATTAAATGCTTATAAAGCAGCTCTTGGATACCCACGTCGCTGGATGCCAGCCCTGGGAATGCTGGGATTCTATGTATCGTACTCTACACTGTGTTCCATCACACTGCATGGTGCCCAGCACACAGTAGGCAGTCATAACATTGGAAATGACAGGATAATGCACTGATCATCTTGCCCACATGACAGTCACAGTTCTCACTGCATCATGTTGAACTGTGTGAAACTGCCACTTTTAGCAAGTCAAGTGATTGTTTTGAATGGTCTGACCCAATTGATATTTTTTTATTCTGGCTCAAAGATATTTTACTTAGTGTGAGACAATCTCTCACGACTGGACTCCTTGGGCACTGACAAAAGAGGTCTCTTGGATGACTGCTTCACCAATCTGTTTTATTTAGGAGCCACTAATTGCCTCACAATGGATTATGGCCTACAAGAAGTAACAAGCAGAAGCTAGAGAAAAAAAGAATGCTGCCAAGAGTGGAAGAAACTCCAAAGGGGAGGGTGCATGGGAGCAGGGATGAAAGAATACATGGGGATTTTGATAACAGAGATGAAGAGTTGAGAAGGGATAGTCAAGACTTAGAGCAAAAGGGAAAGACAAGAATTAGAGGCAGGAAGGCAATTTAGGTAACCGTGGATGATCAAATTTGGTGAGAGGACAAGGTCTGTGGGGGAAAGCAATGAGAGAGAAGACTGGTAAGGCTGGCCAAGAACAGATTACACATGGCCTCAAATGTTAATGTAAAGCACTAGCAAACAGAATCCCTTGAGGCTGCAAGATGATTAAGAAGTTCATCCCGCTCTAGGCAAAATGAATTGGAGAATGGAAGCAAGAGGCCAGCTAGGTGGCACCTGTGGGTCTCTGGTGGAGACACGCAAAGGAAATTAAAATGCAAATGTCTTTTGGAGGACAAATGTGAGGACCAGCAACTATTCTGAAAGGCACAAGTAATCCAGGCTAACCAGCCAAGCAAACCTCATGCATCACCAGCATTGGCAGCCTCATCTGGATACTCATCTTTTATAGAAAGATCACCATTGCCAGGTCCTGAATGCATTTAATCCTAATAGCTACCCTACAAGTATGTGTTATTACTTCTGTTTTATAGATGAGGAAACTGAGGCTCAGAGAAGGAAAATATATTCAGGGTCACAAAGCTCCTAAAGAGTTATTTATTAGGACCCAATCAAAGCTGAGGATATTCAGTGACAGGGACAATTTCATTTATGTATGTATGTAGGTATGTATGTATGTATTCATTTATTTATTTATATTTTTGAGAGAGAGAGAGTGCACTCAAGCAGGGGAGGGGCTACAGAGAGAGGGAGACAGAGGATCTGAAGTGGGCTCTGCACTGACAGCAGAGAGTCCCCGATGTGGGGCTCCAACTCACGAATCGGAGCCACCCAGGGGCCCCAGAGGCAATTTTAGAGAAAAGAGTCCAGGGCCAGAAGCTCCCCTGGTCAGGAAGAAGTAATCTAGAGCCAATGCCCAAAGCACCCCACAGAGAAACACAGGCTCCATGGTGGTTCCACACTCAGGGCCACCTTCCCATCCTACCTTGCTTTCTCCTTCAATGACGATGACAGGCACAGCCGTGGCAGGCCAGCGGTGTTTGGCTGGTAGAGGCTTGTCACAATTCCATAGAACTATGATCTGAAAGGGAAAGGGGATCGTTAGATGGCTCGGGAAGGCTGGCTTTATATAGGCCTCCAACCCAGCTCCTTCTCGAGACAGAGGGAGAAGAGACGGAAGCCTTAGCAGGAGGCAGACATCAACCTTGAATTTTAAAGAGGGTCCCCTCCCACACAACCTTCAGAACCTGGTGACCTCAACAACTAGAGAGACAGGGCAGAAAGAGTAACCTAACACAACAAGGAGGTAGGGGAAAGCTGGGGAGAAAAGAAGTAAACTTCAGGGTTGCTGAATCTTAATATAGTGGTTTCCTAAGTTCTGATGTCTTACTATGAGCAAGATAACAACACTGACCAAATTAAATAAAAACATATAGTGAGCATCTGAATTCTGGCTATGAGCCAGTGCTACTCCACACAATGTGGGAGAGAGAACAGAATTCAAGAAGGAACCAGCCTGGTAAGCTCACGATTTGGATTCTCCAAATCAGCATTGGTTGCTGATTTTATTGACTTTATTATTTCCAATAAATGTGTTCCAAAAGGCATACTTCAACATGATTTAATTCTTTCCTTGTTTGTAAGCCTTCTTATACAACCTCATTTATAAATCAGAAAACCACTGTTAAGAGTATTGGAGTGACACTGATTTGGAAAATTTTATTGTCAAAGATGTAATCTTCTCCCAATTTTATAATTAAGTCATGGTTGCTATGAAAGATGCATCCTGAAACCAGCAAGTCTGTTCCTTCCATTGAAACTTAGTTTTCTGGGTCCTCCCATGGCATTTCTGATGTTACTTTACCACGGTGACATTTAAAAACAAAATAGTGTGCTTACGCATTCTTTAAAGAACGTGTTGGTGTATATATTTAAACGTAACCCCAGTGGAAAATCTCTTTGTAACCCATCCCTTACCTGTGCTAGATTTCACTTCCAAGAACCTCTAAGTTGATGAAAAGGGAGTAACAAGGCATGACAAATGAAAGGGGAGTAGCAGGGCATGACGTTAGACGAGTCCCAGGGAGCAAAGCGGAGGGCAGGTAAAAGCGGGGGCTGGGGGGGGGTCTCGGGTCCGCTGAGCTGGAGGAGGCAGGTGCTGCTGGCACCCCCACTCACCTGGGCACAGTACTGGGATTTGGCCGCAGCCACGAGAAGCTTCAACACTGGCTGGGACTGAGAGACCAGGGGGGTCACTGCATGGATGACTGCAGTGAATTTGGAGGGGGGCTTTAAACCTGAAATAGAAAGGGGAGAGGAGCCAATGAAACACTGAAAAACAACACTCAGAAAATCATTCCTCCTCGCTCCATTGCCTCACCCTAAGCTAATGTTCCCTCCTAGCATATTTGTCCTGCACCTCTTATGTCCTGACAGAACAAAAACAAGGTGAAAAGCTGCTAGTTAACTGCTGCCTGAGGCTCCAGGACCTCGATAATTTACAGCTCAATGTGTATCTGCAGGTTCTTCCTTTGATAACATTTTCCTCCCCTGGGGATGCATCTTTGATCACCCGTCTGCTCTTTAGGTACCCAAAGTCTTAACACACACCCCACCACTCACCTCCCTCTACTCCAGAAAGAGTCTATGCTAGGCACTTATATCGTAATATGGACTTAAGAAAATGTACTCTCTCTCCTTGGGTATTTGAATAGCTCTTATTCTTAATAAAGTAGTTAAGGGTTTTTTATTGTTTTTTTTGTGTGTGGTTTTTTTTTGCCTGATTATTACTATTTCAAATTATAACCAGCAAATGGTAAAGGTTAAAAGAACAGCATCCAGAGCCTCACTGTCTAGGTCTGAATCTCTGTGCTACCCCCCGGTGGCGGTGGGATCTTCCCCTCGGTGTTTCCCCTGCTATGAAATGGGGCTCAGGGTCAGAGCATCAAACCTGTGGGGTTATTATCAGAACTGAATTAAAGGAGTGAATGCTTTATAAGCAGGTAGCAGTGGAAACAGCAAATAGTAAGTGCTCAATATTTGTTCATGGCTATCATCTCCATCACCGTCATCATCACTGTCATCATCACCATCATTTGGGAGTGGAAGCTTCTATGCTCCCAAGAAGCTCTTTCTGTGCGGTGCTGACAGAAGCTGAGAGAATAAGTGTGTGACCCAGACCTCTGCCAACTGTTGTGCTCTGAAGCCTTAGGTAGAAAGGTGTCATAAATATGCAAAACAGGCACTGCCACCAAAGCGAAAGAAGTGAGATGGCTTCTCCCTCAAGTGAGTTTTTACGTAAGAACTCACTAAGAAAATGGAGACAGGTTTAAAAGCTTTTTAAGACTTCACTAGTTTAGACCCACAAATTTTGCATTTTGGTAGCTTAAATGCAAACAAGAGTGTGCAGTGACATTCAAGTTCAGCTTTGGTGTTGGTAGAGTAAAGGGAAGAATCAGACTATACATATTAAAGAATTCAATGGGTGTTTTGTAGAGCAAATTGTATCTTCCAATTGGTACTTTAATAGCATGTTAGAAAGAAGCTAACTTCCTCACTATCTAGATACACAATCAAAGTTTTGCCAAGGAAGAATAAATATGATGGAGGGGTTCCTTTTTCACGGTGAGGACAAGTCACTGCTTTAACGTTTCCTGTACTAGTTTGAGCAGCATCATGTACACACTTCTAATGTGCTTGCTCCCATGAAGATCTCACTAGCTCTACAAGAAGTACGTAGGGATTTTTATCAAATATGGCCTTATTCTAAAAATTACCAAATTCTAAATGTATTACCCAGTGTGGACCATACCCTGGTTTTACCACCAGTCCCCATAACATGTTTGGTTTGGATTAAAGGGTTCTTTGTCACTGGTTGATACTTCGGGCCAGGACTTTCGTTCAGTTTCTTTTTTAGCAGTTTCAAATTAAACACCCACAACTCACGGGTGAGATCGTTATGGGGAACATCTGCACAGGGCGGAAAATCTAGAGTCTTTTCCCCACAATATCTTGAAAGATGCTTTACTGTCCCAGAGTTTCTCCAATTTGGAACTGTGAATGAGGGGAAATGTCTAAGATGTTGTTAACACTAGCACAAGTGGGGCTGCAAAAACGTAAACGTCTATGGCAGTAATAGCCGAGCTCTGTCTAGGACCCTGCCCATTCCTTTTTCCTCATTGGGATTAGATTAGAAGCTGCCAGAGAGCAGAGATTGTGTCTCATCTGATTTTTTATTTCTACCACCTAGCATTGCATTAATGGAACATATAAGAGGAGCACAATAAATGTTAAATGGGTGAATAGGTTTTTCTCTTGTCATACATTATTAAATCTTTCTCCATTCCCTTTGATAATTCCACTTTTCTTTGGTAGGAGAGAGATACGTTGAGATCGCAAACGAAGAAACAAGAAAGAGTTAGGGAGAGCTCTTCTGGTTCCATTTCATATAAGAGGAGACGTAAAATTACAGCAAACCCTTTGTCATGTTCAAAATGATCCATCATTTGGGGAGCCCATGTCTCAAAAGGGAATGACTCCACTAAATGTGAAGTGCTGCTCCGACAAGAAAGGAGTTTTTTCATCTTGCAATGTTCTGCTAGATTTATAATTCTTGATCTCAATACGCCATGTATGACAGGGCCCTAGGAAGCAATGTCCCATGCAGGCTGGTAGGAAGACCCTGCTCTAGAACAGAAAAATCAAGGGACTTTAACCTGGACAACAGCTGGAGGGTAAACACAAGGTAGCACCCTGAAAGGAACTCACTTACCTAAATTAGCATAGTAGTAAGGAAAGTCTCCCAGATAAGATGAATACTGTGGTAGTACGAACAGTCCTCCAGGATGTTTGTTCCATATTAAACTGTTACGTGATATGTGCTTGAATATTCTGTCCTGAATAATCTAGAAAATAAAAACACAGTGTGTGGTGAGGATGAAACCCTGATGGTATTTGATAAGGAGCGTGTTCAGTCCAAATTTGGGGAATGATGACCCTCAAAGTAGCGACTACCCCCAAATTCTTCACAGATAAAAGCGTCTGGGACACAAACAGAGTGACAGAGCAATGGAAGAGAGTGTGAGAGAGAAAGAGATGAATTATGGCTAATCAAATTTCCTAATTAAACTTCAGTTTAACCATAAATTCTACCTTGGCTTTCTATAATAGTAAGTCCATTCTCATTTGAAAGCAGAGTGCATGGAACAGTTGCCTTGATGGTCGAGCCTCCAGCTGCGGTTCTAGATCCTTGCCAGGATGATCTACTCTTGGTTCACACACATATCCATGTGGAGACAGGGTGGGGAGGGTACAGAAGGCATGGCACATTCTAGAAGCTGTTGAAGTTCTGATCTGTTCCTTAAATTTAGGAGGCAGATTTACCTGTCATATTTCATTTTCCTTCCAAAGTCAACTGTAGGACTTTGGCATACTGGTTAGCTGACGTTTTTTACATTTCACCTCAAAAAGCAGTGAGTTAACAATTGCTCCAAACATCCCACATAATAGGACAAGAATCATGGCATATAAAGACTAATAGCCATGCTAGTTCATTAGTTTCTTTGGACTTTGGGACCTCGCAGATCATTAAATTCTACATTTAGAGTCAAACATTCTCCCATCCTGAATCATTTGTCAGATGAACATGATTAGTCCACTTTACAGATTTCTCTCTGTGACTTTCAAACTCTTGTAATTATACCATCCACTCATTAAGATATGATTTGGCAAATAATTAACTTGATACAGGATCTCATGTTTGTAGCAATTTTTTTTTGCACTTAAAAAAAAAAAGAAAAAGTCTACCATGCCTCTCAAGAGATTTAAGACCTAAATCATTATTTTCCAGGTTCCCATTTAATGCAACGTGATTTTAAGTAAAGACCATTTTAACTGGAGCTTTATTATTTGTTAAGGTTATTAACACATTTGTCTCATCCCACATAGTGATAGATAAGTAATAAAGCAAGCTACATTTATTTTTGCAAACCTTATCATGTTTATATTTCTTAATGAGAGAGAAGAAAGGAAGCAAGGAGGTAATTTGAAAGAACTCAAATATCTTAGTTTAGTGATTTCTGTATTTTCTCTTACTCCCAGATCAAAACTGCTAATTTTATATGGCTAGGTAATGGTTTCTAATTTGGTGGAGAGTTTAAGAAGCTAGCTAAAATATGAATGTTTACACTCTGTGGTACAACAGGGGTGTGTTAAAAATGCTGTTGTGTAGGCATTAATTATGAGAAACTTCTTATGGTTGTTAAGGGTTTTTATGTGGCTAACGATTTCACTTTCTATACCATTTATTCAAGTTTTATAATATTATTTATACCTTCCAAATCTATTGTCTATTTTCCCTTTTAGTTTTTCATTTAGATCCTCTTTTTTTGCTTTCCAAATTTATGTGGTCACTTAAATGAATTTGGACATCAAGACACAGAATAAATTGAAAGTAGACAGCATCATAAATCCGACATATATACGAATGACATGGAGCTCAGGATGCCACAAAGTGGTTCACCATTCACTTCGAGTCTCGGGGCAGTATGCTTCTCATTGTCATACTCCTTCTGGTTCAGTATCACAATATTGTTATCATTTCAAATTCAAGGATACAACAAGTTATAGCAATCTTCTGAGATACCAGTAGGCATGTTATACTCTCTTCAAATGAATCTTGATTAGGAAGATACCGGTAAAGTTATAAGAGCAACAGGAAATGTTTAATTTAACCTGGGTCAAGCAACTTGCCATCTTTATGTCTCACTTTTCTCATTTGTAGTAAAATAAAATATCATGTAAATTCTAGCAAGCTCTCAGAATTTGTTAGGAAGAGCTGCCCAAGTTTTTATACTTAAGACTTGAATTTTTGCCTTAAAAAAGTCTCATTCCTGAATCCATTTTCTAGGCATAGATTTTTCCATTTGTACATAGTTTTAATATCACAGATATTAGATATTATAGGTGTCTTTCCATATGGTTAATAGTATTCATGGGCTATGTATCCTAAAGGACCAACAATAGTGTAATTTTTTCCATGCAGAGCAATGAATATATTTACGAGTTAAAAATTTCCACATCTAGAATTGATTCATTTTTAAAATGTTCATTTATTTTTGAGAGAGAGAGAGAGGCAGAGAGAGGAGGGGACAGAGAATCCCAAGCAGGCTCTGAGCAGAGCCCAATGTGGGGCTCAAACCCACAGGCTGTGAGATCATGACCTAAGCCAAAATAAAGAGTTGGACTCAACCAACTGAGCCACTCAGGCGCCCCTAAAATTGATTCTTTAGAAGTTTGTCAAAGGGTATAAACACTGTTAAAACAGTTCATATGTACTGACAAATGTTTTCTAAAAGGTTTGTATCAACTTGCCTTCTCAAAAGTCTGAACAAGTATGGATCTCATCTCACCAAACAGAAAAGTCATTCTGTCCCTCTCCTAATGGCCAATTCTCCCTATTGCTACACTGGACAGCTCCTGGGGTCCTTTCAGGGATCTAGAGCTCAATCTTTATCATTGTGGAAGAAGACACGACATTTAGAAGTTGGGCATTTCTTTGGCTATAAAGAAAATCAACACAAACATACACATAGATACATATACACTCATAATACAAAAGTTCTTCATTATAGACCCAAATGGTACCCTCGATAAGGATAATATTTCTCATTAATAGGAATTCAAAGGGAAGAATGGCAGGCTCCTTATTTTTCTTTTTTTTTATGTGCCATCTGTATTCTAAATAATGGACTACTGGTTACAGGTTGCAGTCATTCTGTGTGGCCCTGACTTGGTCTTTTGACCAATGCAATATTGCCTCTCACACACAGTGCCACCATATGCCACCTTACTCTGAGCCAAAGCATTCTATTTCCATTATTTCATTGATTTTAATATTTCACTGTACAACAGCATCAGCAATACCACGGTTTGCATGTGCATTGTTAGGTAACTGAAGACAAAAAATTCATAAAACCCCATTAAAAATGTGCTTTCCAAACTACCATTAGCTCTATTCATATATTATTACGATCTAGTGCACTTTTCTTTCACTCACCTTGATTCTGCCTGAGCTCATATGGTTTAATCATTAGTGCCAGGTCACTGCTGTGCAATATTCTGACAAATAATGGAATCCATGAAGGAGCACTGTCTTTGCAATATTTGATCATTGTCCCATCATCACTTCTCAACTTGCATACACACACAAAAACTGAGCTCCAAAGAGCCCAGCTCTATTAAATAGCTCCTTAATTCCAAGATGCAGAATGAGGAAGTTTCTATCAGACTGGAAATGCTAGCCAGCTCCCAAGCATGACAGAGTGCAGTGCAGCGGAATGCACTAACAACTTGACCCTGGCATTGGAGAGAAGACATCCTGTTTTCAATTGTGTCTAAGCATTACCTACAACACTAAGGCTCATAATCTTCAAAGACTGAGTAATCCCCTTCCATGGCCTCATGTATAGCAAGCAAGGAAGACCCAAAGTTTTAGAGTCTGAGTGTAGAACATCCTGAAAAGAAAGGATCCTCAAATCTATGTTGTCTAAGGGCAATTTTGAATTATCCTCATAACTTAGTAGCTCTAGTACAGACTGACTTATATCATCTAAGTTCTAAGCCGAGGAGACATTTTTGATATGTGATACTTAGGTTGTTCTCATAAACATGTTGGCTTTATTTGTGTATGAGGATGGCATTTCTTGCTATTTTCTCTGCTTTTCTAGTTACATTGAATTCTGGGGTAATCCGATTCTGAATTAAAAAGGGAAATTGGATGGTATCTTTCACGCAATTTGGTTGAGAGGTCAAACTGTTACAATCCAATCTTGGAACTATATACGGAGATTTGACAGTTGCTATAAATTTGAATGAAGTATATGGTTCATAGTGTTTTCAAAACAACTGTGTCGCTAAAGAACTGCATGGCTTAAATCCAAGGGGAAGAAGGCCTTTCCAGCAGAGATGACAACAGCTTGACTTAAGATTCTACTCTGATGAATATAACACATCCAACTGTTCTCTCGGGATAACTGCACACTGCTAACTGAATAGGCAAGAGACTGGCTCTATGCAGAATACTCAAAAGAAGTGTAATTAATGAGATACCATCTTTCATCTGGCAAATCTGCAAAGTTGTGTATGTGTGTGTTTTAATTATGATCCTTAAGGCTCACAAGAGCATAGCTAGAGAAGGTGTCCCCCCAGATGGCTTATGAGAGTCCAGACTGATGCATCCTTCTGTAAGGGTAATTTGGCAATGCTTATCATGAACCTAGACTCTGGCTCAGCAACAATCCCACGTTAAGGACTCTAGCCTAAAGAAATAGAGTTGTAGCCTAAGATACATGCAGAAACTCATTGCTTGGATAAAGATATCTAGATCTAGATCTATACAAAATAAATAACTAGAAACAACATTAATAGTCAATAATAGTAGGTTAGGTAAACAAACAGAGGTCCGCCAAAGGATGACATACAGAGCAGGAAAATGAAAACAAGTGACCTCGGTATTTTAGAGTGGACAACTAATAGAGCAAAATCAACAGGCCAGAAACAGGGCGCCTGGGTGGCTCAGTTAGTTAGGCATCCGACTCTTGGTTTCGGCTCACATGATCATCTCATGGTTCATGGGATTAAGCCCCATGTTGGGCTCTGTGTTGATTATGTGGAGTCTGCTTGAGATTCTCTCTCCTTCTGCCTCTCCTGTTCTCTCTCTATCCCAAAATAAATAAACATTTAAAAAAACCCCACGGGGCGCCTGGGTGGCACAGTCGGTTGGCGTCCGACTTCAGCCAGGTCACGATCTCGCGGTCCTTGAGTTCGAGCCCCGCGTCGGGCTCTGGGCTGATGGCTCAGAGCCTGGAGCCTGTTTCCGATTCTGTGTCTCCCTCTCTCTCTGCCCCTCCCCCGTTCATGCTCTGTCTCTCTCTGTCCCAAAAATAAATAAACGTTGAAAAAAAAATAAAAAATAAAAAAAAATAAAAAAATAAAAAAAACCCACAAAAGGCCAGAAACAGACTCAAAGATGCATAAATGTGGCATGTGACAATATTGAGGAAAGAAAACAATATGTTGGGACAAACTACACAATAATCTGTCAAAAAAGATTTTTCAACATGGATCCTATATATGATCATATATATAAAAGTAAATAGGATTAAACAGCTAAATGTAAAAAAGTTAACCATTAAAGTACTAGAAAAATATAAGGGAGTGTGCGTATAAATTAAATTATCGGTCAAAAGATCTTTTCTAAACAGTAGTAGCAAATGAAAACGCCACAGATGAAAAGATTGCCTCATAATAGAAAGGGATACTACAAGTTGGGGGAAATATTTGCAACAAGAGAGTCAGAGGGTTAATATTTTTAGTAGAATAAGCTCTTAAAAATTAGTGAGAAAAAGTGGGACAAAGTTGTGGCCATTTCTATTTCTTTGTGAGTTGCCTAAGAAATATGAAAAATATTCATTCTTACTAATAGCCTAAGAAATATAAATTAAATAATAATGATTTATCATTTTGAAAGATATAATGTCCAATATTGGTGAAAGTGAAAATTACCCAAAATAATAAAAACAGGTCCTCTCATATAAGCTGGAGGGAATATAAATTAGTTCCATTCTATTGCAGGAAAATTGACAACTTATTAGAAATCTTAGCATTTGTCACATTCTTTGAACCAGGACTTTGAATTCAAGGAATTAATCCTCAGGAAGTCATTTTGAACCTGCACAACAATTTGGTGCTGAGACTATTTGCCTCAACAATGCATATAAATATTTAAAAAGCAGAAACCACTGTAATGTCTTCAAATTGAGGATAATTAAAGAAATTAAGTGATATTATGAATGGAATATTATATGGTCACTAAAATCAGTATAGAAACATCTAACATGACAAAATGTTAACAGCATATTATTAAAAGCAGAAAAAACAGATTATAAACAAGTTTAGATTATATGTATAATCTAAATAAATTATAATTGGGGCGCCTGGGTGGCTGGCGCCAGTCTAGGCGATCCAGGCTTCATGAGTTTCACCGTGGCCCGTGGGTTTGAAACCCCACTTGCTTGGCAGGCTCTGGGCTGATGGCTCAGGAGCCTGGAGCCTTGTTCGATTCTGTGTCTCCCTCTCTCACCCCTCCCGTTCATGCTCTGTCTCTCTCTGTCCCAAAAATAAATAAACGTTGAAAAGAAAAAAATTAAAAATAAATAAATAAATAAATAAATTATAATCTAAATAAATTATATATATAAGTTATATATATATGATTATATAGTATAGTATATATATATATGATATATATATATATATATACACTGTGAAATCTTCAGAAGTTCAGAGCATAATTCATTCTGAAATATTTGTAATGAAATGCAGCTTTTGTATATAATAAAAGTGAATTTCAAGAACCATTGGCTCAGCTGTGATGATGTGACATTTGGCATCACGTACTAATATTGCAAGACATCACCCGTTCATCATGTTAAAGTTTAGTAGAAATGTTTGCACGTCTTGCGGAACACTCACAGAACAAGTTACCTGCAATCCAAGGTACGTATGGGCTCCATGTAGGCTCCATGCTCAATGTGAGGCTTGAACTCACATTGAACAACCCTGAGATTAAGAGTCACGTGCTCAGGAGCCTGGGTAGCTTAGTCAGTTAAGTGTTCAACTCTTCATTTCAGCTCAGGTCATGATCTCATGGTTTGTGAGTTCAAGCCCCATGTCAGGTTCTGCACTGACGGTGTAGAGCCAGCCTGCTTGGGACTCTCTCTCTTCCTGTCTCTCTCTGCCCCTCCTCTGGTTGTTCTCTCTCTCTCTCTCAAAAATAAATAAATTTACCTTTGAAAAAAAAAAAGAGTTGCAAGCTCTACCAACCCAGATAGCCAGACACCCCTGAAAGACTATTCTTTAAATTAAAAAATGCAACATATGTATAAATTCACATAGAAAAAGACAATATATATGTGTTTGTGCATACCTATACATAAATAGTGATTTTGTATGGGGAGATGATTTTATTTGTATGCTTTAAGTATTTTCCATTATACATGTACTTGTTTAAATAAAAAGCACTCATTCCACAAAGAAAAAGAATTGACATTCAACTTTCCTTAAGAAGGGCCCAGGAAGGGTCTTGGATGGAAGATAGGATAGAAAAGCAAGATCTATTATATATTCAAATCTGCTGCTATGAACAGAAGAGAAAATGCAATCAATGTTAAGGAGTAAGAGCTTTGCTTGCAATAAGGAAGCCCTTGGAAGCCATTCTGACCTTGTCCCCTTCATGGACTGGGCCTGGGTCCTAAACAGCCCTTTTCACCTAGGTCCAGGATGAAAAAAAAATGTGCACCATTCATGAGAAGACTCTGACCAGAGCAAGGGCCCAGGCTAGGCTCGGGGCAAGTAAACACCCCACTGTGCTCATGGCATGACCAGCACAGGCTGTAATACCCAGGATGGCAGGAGAACAGTGTTGTGGACAAGACAGGGTGATTTTCAATTTTCCTTGGTACTACTGAGACTTCTCAGTGTATGTTACAAATCCCATTAGCTTCTGGAGCAGTAAACACTTTTCCAAAGTAAATACTCCAAAGTGAGGCCACAAATGCCCCCGTTGCATTATGCGAACACCTCAGAATCACCTCAATGCTGTGCCTCACGAGAGGACCTCTGCTCTCCTTCCTGCAAGCCTGTAATTCATGAGTGTGCAGTTTCCTAAATCTTTTCTTAGCTTTTTGTGCTAGTGTGGTGTAGCCTCGGGCCATCACTATCTGTTCTACTTCCAAAGGTTTTAATCATCTCCATGCTTCCCTCTCCTTTTTCCCTCCTGCCTTAATAAAAAGCAACTTACAAGGGGCACCCATATGCCTAGAAGATTTTCTGCATTCATAAAGTTTAACACTTTCTGCACCAGAGAGGTGCAATCCTGATTTTCTTCTCGACACATCCTGATGCTGGTTTCTTCTCGACAACACTGATGCTGGTTGGGTTGCGCAGGTGGGGTTGAAAATTACTTTTGTTGTACCCCAATGCCATTGGTGTCCAATAAACTGCTTATATTTTTAGAATGGTAGAACGTATTCCCCTACTTGGTCATTATTGGTTTTCTAAATGAGGTCCAGAAATATGTCTTCAAAGGATGTCACTGAGTGTGAAGGACAGGAGGGTAGTCATTAACCACATACTGCTGAAATGATGTAAGACTGAGCCAATCTCTGTGTCAAGGAGTGGAATTTCTCCTCATGTCAGTTTTCTCCTATGGAGCTTTGTTAGGAATGGAGGGATTTGCTTGGGCTTGGCAGGGCAGGTAAAAGAGGGTTAACTGACATATCCAAGTATATAAAATTCAGTTTTGTCGCATTTGACTCAATTACACCTCACCAATAACAGACAAGAAAGCCAACAGAAGTGTATAAAGGACCATTATTCAAGACAAAGAGCTAAGTGGTCTCACTTACCTCTAGTGTAGTTAATACAATCTTCTCAACTGAAGAAAAATAAGCCTCCCACAAGAATTGTGTCTGCTGTCTAAGTGCTAGGATTTTATCCTGATGAATAGACCTGATTGTAGAAGGAATCTGTAACACAAGGTGAACACATAATAACTAGAACTGTAAAACAATGAGATACCATTTGATCAAAATAACCCACCTGGGTTAGGCTTTTATATTTCATAGCATTCAGGTTCTAGTGTACAGATCTCCCAAAAATCACCAATCCTTAAACTGAAATGCCCTTAAGAAGGTGTCAGGTACAGACAAACAATACTTACTGGGGATCAGCTTTAACCACCTTTAATGCATGGAAGTTAAAGTTACCTCTAAGATTTGGTAGCAGCTTATCAGTTGTTCAGGGTTCCACAAATCCTCAGTCCTGCACACAACCACATTCTATAGAGAAAGAAGCTATCAGCTTTGGGGAAAGGCTGGAAGATATCATCCTCCAAACACTTCCAAGACATGCCATGCCAGGGACGACAAATGATCTACAAAAGGGCTTTTAAGGGAATGTCTTTGAGTCTCTCCATTTAATCTGCAGCTGGACAGTCATTTCTATATGCACACACCTGCTATCTCACCCTGAGAGCTCTTCTGCTCCCCGACCTCTCTTCCTGCCTCTAGCACTTACCCCAATGATCTGCCAAACATCATCCATGTTCAGCCATCACTGTTCTCTACCAGGCTACATGATTTTAAAGGAGAGATCTATGTCCTGTCCATCATGCTACACATTTTAAGGCTAGAAGAGTGATTTTTATTCAAGAAATAAGAGTTAAACTGAACATGGCTATCTGAAGCCACCATAGGGATATCATTATTTTTTACCAGCAATATAGCTTAATGATTAAGCACAGGGACACCAGAAGTTAGACCAAAGTGGGATTCTTGGCTCTAACATTTACCAGCTGTGTTTTCTTGGACAAGTTACTTGATCTCTCAAAGATTCTATTTCCTCATTTATAACATGGGGATACTGTACGAACATAACAAGGTTGTAATGGAAATTATCTAAGTGCTTCGCACAGTGCCTAGAACATGGGAAGCTTAATTAACATAGCAAATTATTACTACCACTATTATTATTATTATTTACATAAGGGTCAAAGTTGGATCAATTGCTGCCTAATGTCTGCATGTGAACTTGCTTGGATCTGGAGCTCTGTCTGACATGTACTTCCTGGGTTTCTGGTGAGTTTGCTGGGCTTGCTCCCTATCTTCACCTATAGTTCAAGGTCTATTTCATTTATGGAGTCTATACTCTTAGAGGAGAGTCCTTGTGATTAGCAACTGCTGTCTTGTGCTCACCTCTTTCTGCATGCTTGCTTTGCTAATGTGTAACTAATCAGACAGATGTGGGGGCCTGGGCTGAAGTAGGGATGCTCTGTTAGTTGCTTTAATAAGAAAGTTACTCACGGCATTGTGACCAAGCCTGTATCTGAATTTCCACTAGGGGAGAAGGAGGTGGTAGCACATTTTTTGACTTAAGACTATTCTTCGAAGGAGCAATGAAACCGCCTCACAATAAGAACACAAGGACAAGCTCACTTGCTTTGGCAATATCCTAAAGCAGATACCAAATCTGTGCCCCAAAGTGTGTATCTGGATGCCCACCACTGAAGAAGCATGGAGGCAACAGGTAAAGGAAAAGCAATGGCAGGCAAACATTAGCCCAGAATCAGAGCTCAAGGTCAAATGGAAGTAAAATACCCTTGGAGAAGGCAGAAAAACCATCCATATTATGGATCCTTGCTACGTCAAAGACTATTTTTATTTACTGAGAAAATTACCAAGATTGCCAAAAAAGACTAGGAAAAAGCTACCATGACCAATTTCATGATCAGGTTCTCTTCTAAATGCCAATGGTATTTTCTAAGAGTCCTATAGGTAGACTTCACTGTTTTGTCATGATCACAGGAAACCAGTCCATTAGAAAATGCCAAAAGCTACTGCCACTGTGTAGTCTCCAGAAAACTAAGTGGGCTGAAGTTATGAAAGAAGAGAGGGAATATATACATTAACCTACCAGTACATTGCCCTCTTTTATAGAAGCCACAACTTGATGTTGGGACATCAAATAAAATACATGCTACCTGTTTGTACGTATAATATAAGTGACAGCCCTTTGCAAAGTGCTCTGGAAGAGAATTCCAAGTGACTGAAAAGACAAGAGTTCCAAGTTTTAATGGCATTTGGCTATTGGTTATTAATCTGCTTGTCCTGAGAGACAGGTATATGCGAGAGTGATAAATTAATTCCAATTTGGCCGGATTGTTCAGTGTCGCAGAACTCAATGAAGTCTTAATAAAAGGTCACGTATGGCAACAAAACTAATGGAATCTACCAAAATAGATATAGGAAAGCAACATTCAGCTCTCCTGGTGACATAATGACAAGAATATATTCAAATAAAAACATCCGAGCTGTTCTAAAACAAGAAACGAAAAATTGTAACATAACAACAACATTTCCCAGAGCAGACATTTGGGCTCGGTGCCAGCCCTTTACAACCATTGTCAACGACAGTGCAGTCGCTGTTCAACATGGAGGCAGCTGTGCAAAGACAGACTGCGTACGAGATGGGAGAACGAAAGCAAGTTTGGGTGGGTGCAGGATCGAAAACAAAATCTTCAGAGTTAAGCCAAAAACTGCTGCGGAAGGTGAAATACATATCACCTTTGGTGAAACATTAGAAGCTGGACAACTGCACTCAAGTATCCCGGAATGCCCTCCTGTCCAAGACAAACTCCCAAGTTATTCACATCAAATTCACAGGAGCATTGGTGAACAACGGGAGATATTAGGGCTGATGTTTTTTATTCCTTTTAGTTCCCAAACTTTCTGTAATGATCATGTATTATTTAAAAAAAAAATCATAAAAAGGAGGAAAGAGGCAACGTGGAAAGGACCCACACAGATCAGTTTTGTCTGGCCTTTCATGAGTCAATGTTTTCAGCATATGCCATTCTGCCTGGGGAGGATTTTGCTAGGTGACATATTCTTCTTTTGTGTTGGAGGTCCCAGGGGCCATAGAGTGATCTACCTGAGTACCGGAGAGAGCCATGTTTTGGGAGCTGTGTTCAGCTTGGCTTGCCTAATCCCTAGCGCTCTTGATTACAGGTACGTCACCCGTTACTTTAGGAAGACTACTGTGTTACTTCACCAGCCAGCTAGCAGACTGGCCAGCAGCACAAGCAGAAGCAACAAGAGAGTTAGAAACTCAATTTTCTTTTTTTTGTTTTTTAATGTTTCTTTATTTTGAGAGAGAAATAGAGAGCAAGAGGGGGAGGGGCAGAGAGAGAGGGAGACAGAATCCCAAGCACATCCCTGATGTGGGGCTCGAACCCACAAACCATGAGATCATGACCTGAGCAGAAATCAAGAGTCAGACGCTTAACTGACTGAGCCACCCAGGTGCCCCAGAAACTCAATTTTCCCAATAATTTTTTTTTTAAAGCTAGGACATTAAAAAAACCATTCTACCGTATTGTGGTAGTTCAAGATAGAGTATATACTGCCATCAAAGGAAAACATTAAAATATTCTATAATTTTAGAGAAAGGAGTATGACAAATTATGTGGAACCTACAATATTATTACATGAAAGGGCTTTAGAAATCCTCAGTGACTGACAATTACTGCCCTTGGATTTCTCTGTATCATATTCCTCTCCCCAGGCAGCTCCTGAGAAGTTCAAACTTTTATTAGGTATCCTTGTAGAAGACTGGTTGACCTTATATGAGTGGATTTATTTCTAGGCATTCTATTTTGTGCATTTGGTCTGTATCTCTCTCTATATGCCAGTACAATATCATTTTGATCACTGTAGCTTTGTAATGTATTCTGAAATCAGGAATTATGATGCCTCCAGCTTTGTCCTTTCTCAAGACTGATTTGGTTATTTGAGGTCTTTTGTGGTTCCATATGAATTTTAAAATTAGTTTTCTACTTCTGTAAAAAAATGCCATTGGGATTTTGATAGGGACTGCATTGAATCTGTAGATCAATTTAGGTAAGATGACCATTTTAATAATATTAAGTCTGATTTCTGCAATACAGGAGAACATGGATGAACCTGGAGGATATTAGGCCAAGGGACGTAAACCAGTCACAGAAAAGACAAATGCTGTATGATTCTACTTACCTGAAGTCTCTAAGACAGCCAAATTCATAGAACTAAAGAGCAGAATGCTAGTTGCCAGGGTTGGGGGTGAGGAAGAAATGGGGAGTTACTAATCAGTGGGCATAAAGTTTCAGTTAAGCGAGATGAATAAGCTCAAGAAATATGCAGTACATTTCCCCACAGTCAGCAATAATGTATCGTGCATTTAAAAATAAGAGGATAAATCTCATCTTAAGTGTTCTTGCTACAGTAAAATAAAATAAAATAAAATAAAATAAAATAAAATAAAATAGAGATCCAAATGGCAAAAAAACACATTTAAAAAACCTATTTTATCAGGGGCCGCTCTTTTAAATATACATGTTAAAGATTAACACTGCTCAGGCTCCCAGACCAGATCATTTGAGCAATGATAACACTAATTATACGAATCAACCCTAGAGACCTCCCTCTTTCTGAAAATTAATCTGAAGGCAATTACAGAAACAAGGGAAAGGAATATGGAGTGGCAGGATGGTACAAAAGCTCTCTTGTATCATTTCTAAAACTCCTGGATAGGGAAGAGGATGGGTGTACACCTCTTCTTCCTTTCAAGTTCATGCCCTTCACCTGCCACTTCTCCTTTTCCAAATATATTCCCTAGACCTGGGCGGATTTTGTGTTGGAAAGTGAACAATGTCATATTAAATGACTTCATATTCGCCACGACACAGGCAATTTTCTCCTGATAAAATTTCTTTTATAGAGCTGACCTTTTGGATTCATCTTCTTTGAAAGTTTGGACGGCGGCAGCAATAATACACTCATCTGCTGAAGGCTGGAGCCCCTTCCTTACCTGTAATAACAATCTCTCATCGCCTATGACGGCAGCTTGGTTCCAATTAATCACTTCAGAGAATGGCAACTCCCATCCATTGCTGAGCATCACAGGGACACAGGCAGCCTGGGTGAGGAAGGGGGCATTCATGAGTGTGAAGGAAGCAGCAGGGGGACATTCCAATCAGAGGTGACATCAGTGCAAATTCAATTACTGGCATTTCTTGCTTGGATCATTGCGTGGATCCTGGACTGCTTAGTCCAGAAGAAAAGTAAACTTACGGGGGTGCCTGGGTGGCTTAGCTGGTTAAACTTCTGACTCTTGATTTTGGCTCAGGTCATGATCTCACAGTTTGTGACTTTGAGCCCCATGTCAGGCTCTGTGCTGAGGGTGCAGAACCTGCTAGGGATGCTGTCTCTGTCTCTCTCTCTCTGCCCCTCACCTGCTCATGCTCTCTCTCTCTCTCTCTCTCTCTCTCAAAATAAAGAAAGTTAAAAAACCAAAAAGGAAAAGTAAGCTTATATGAGTTATCAAGTCATGTGAAGGCTGTACATATCCAGCCAAGATTTTAATGTTTGCAAGTCTTGACCTCAAATGCTAAAACCCCATTTCTATTCTAGTACATGGTTTGGCTGACCTTACCTCCATGGAGACGGCTGGCCTTGTTTGAGAAGTTTTATTGATGTAACAAAATCGTGCACCAACAATATCCTAGCATAAAACCAACCTTGAATATAAACAGTTTTGTCAATGTAACTGCCACAAGTCTGCTTGTGAAGTGGTTTATCCCACTGTCAGGTGCAACAAAGAGCAAAATGGGGCTTGGCATTCCTAATGAAGCTTTTTGTGGACTTAACTATTACAGGGTGTTCACCTTTCCCTTGCTGTGCAAACATCTGAGCCAGAACCTTGTTCCGTGTCACTGTGGAGGGATCCAAACCACTGTCGTAACAATGTACTGTCTGCACAGTGATCTGACAGCCAAGAAACGCCAGGCTAAGGACACGGGTCTGGTTCCAAAGCAGAGAACAATTTGCTTCGTGCCACATCCGAACGAGGCTACCAGAACATTAGTGACCGTATGCTTCACGGAACACAGAGCGCACTGGAAAGGACCTTAAAGAAAAGGAAGCTCTTCTGTTGAAGGACATGACAGAATGGCATACGTTATGGAGTACTGTGCAAAAAGCATAGATTCTGGCAAGGTGCAGGACATAGAGGGGGAAGAACAGAGAGGCCAAGAGGTAAGGAGTGGAGGAGGAGAATCTTAGCTGGGAGCACGCTTTCTCGAGATCCAGGAGGGCTGGTTGCAACTCTCAGGTGGTTAATGTCGGACAAGTGTCTCATCAGGTGAGGCATTTCTGCAGAGTGAGGTTAATGAGCAGAACCTCACACAGGCCCCGGAGCTGCAGAGCCTCAGAATAGCTGGGCCAAGAGAATAGCATGACCCATTGTGCATCACTCTTGGAATTTAGAGGCACCAAGAGATGACTGAGGAGGATGGGCAGAAAAGACAATTTGCTTTTTTTTTTAATTAAAAAAAAATTTTTTAAACATTTATTTTCAAGAGACAGAGATCGAGTATGAGTGGGGGAGGGGCAGAGAGAGAAGAGAGAAGGAGACACAGAATCCAAAGCAGGCTCCAGGCTCTGAGCTGTCAGCAGAAAGCCTAACATGGGGAGCGAACCCATGAACTATGAGATCATAACCTGAGCCGAAGTTGGACACTCAACTGATTGAGCCACCCAGGTGCCCCAAGACAATTTATTTTTTGGAAGTACCACCAATAAGCCATTTTCTTTCTTTTTTTCTTTTCTTTTCTTTTCTTTTCTTTTCTTTTCTTTTCTTTTCTTTCCTTTTCTTTTTAATGCTTACTTTTGAGTGGGGGGAGGGGCAGAGAGAGGGAGACAGAGGATCTGAAGCAGGTTCTGCACTGACAGCAGAGAGCCGATGTGGGGCTCAATCTCACAAACTGCGAGATCATGACCTGAGCCGAAGCCGGATGCTTAACCAACTGAGCCACCCAGGTGCCCCCAATAAGTCATTTTCTTAAGCCAGTGCTCTTGAGACCGGCTTCCAGGAGCAGAATAGTGTCTGCAAGGCTGCTGTTGGGCAGTCAGATCCACCCTCTGTCGGCAAACATGTCTCTGAACACCTCCTCCTTGGTAGTGAAACCGTTTAATCTTCTCAGGTCCAAAGACAAGGAGTGAATCCTCTTTCCACCCCCTCTCTTATAAAAAATGTCACAGACTTTCTTGGGGAAACAGATTCCAGGTGTTCAAGGCAAACTATGCATTCTGCTTAGATCCCTGCAGAAGGGTTAAGGTTAAACCCACCCTGACTTCAGCCCTCAGCCCTATTCTGGGGAGGTCTCAGGGTCTCTTACCTGCAGAGCCTCCAGGAACCTGAAGGACCCAAGCCTGCGACCACGAGGAACCAGACAGAAAGTGGCATTGTGCAGCATTTCCCGATAATCATACCTAGAAAGAGAGGAGGAACAATCAGGAACAATCAGCAGACGAAGACCCGTGAGGAGTGGTGGGGTGTGGGGAGGGGTCAGTGAACATCTGCGGGTGTATACGTAACATGGAATTACCCAGAGCAGCTCAGGAGACACGCTGGGCAGGCAGTTCTCACTTCCCCTTTGGGGAGTGGGGGGTGTTGCATGAACAACAAATGTGAACTTTCACGAGGGGCAAAGTAGTTAGGGTGTTTTGCAAGCAGTACATGAAAGGCAAGTCTGATGTTCCCAGTAACAATTTGGCTTGCCCACGGTTTGCTTCCAAAAATCAGATTTTTTGTGTCTTGATGAAATGTCTTGTCCCCATGAGCTTAAAAGCAAAAGATCACAACGAGTAGTTCTTGTTTAATGCCATGTCATTCAGCAAAACTAAGACTGTCCTTGTTCCCCACCCCACAAAACCATGCTGTTAAAACCTACCCAGGAAACCTCCATTACAAGCACAGAACATTTACTTTCTCCTTCAAGCTGGAGTTTCTACGTTTAACCAAGAATATGCAGCGACGCCAGACAAATACTCATATATAAGAATGGATAACATAACTTACAGCGGAAACACAAGAGAGACAGAAGGAGCTGGCCTAAGAAATGTGAAAATAAGAATAACAGGAGAAAAAAAAAAAAGCATAGCGTGGGGTGCGGAAAACCAGGGTGCAGAAGAGAGGATTGTTTCTTTTACTCAGATACCACTTGACGGTACAACACGGTTCTTGCGCTTGAAAAAAGGCAAAATATAACATGAGCGCCGGCTGTCTCTTTAGGCTGGGGAAGTGCAGGAAAGGCAACAAGCATTTCATTTTGTTTAGGGATATGCCCTTAAAAGTGGCTTCCGCAAACACATTCCTAAACACGCAGTTTCAGATTCATTATGAGTTTAAGCAAACTTGGGGAAGCAGAAATGGCTCGTGCCCTGTGCAAGCCTAGATTCTCAGAGCTAAGATGAAATCACTCTCATTTTTCAAGAGCTTGCAATGCTCGGCAGACAGGTGTGACTTTGACAGTAGCATATGTCACCAGCATTTTCTGACTCTAATAGTCTAATTTAATCATAGCCTGAAGGCATCGGATTCTTCCCTCCTCGTTTTAGGATACTGATATATACATTTATATTTTTAAAGTCCACATCTATTTTTATATTCTCATACAAACTAGGCATATGGGAGTAAGCCAATTTTCAATTATAAACCCGTCATTAAGAAGAGACATCATGCAAAGGACCATTTGCTTAAACAAGCTTGTACAACTAATTTGCACAAGAAAAGGTCACCATGAATGGATTAAGATTATCTCCATTGAGAGTAAAATAAAAACCCTTGCTGCATTAATTAAACTGCAAAATAGACTTGAAAGTAGAAAAGATTTTTAAGAGGGCTCAAATTTGGCTAAATAAGAAATATTAAATTATGATGGTAATGCCTTCTCCTTTGCTCACCAAACACGGGGAAGTAATTGATAACTATCTTCAAATTCAACTGTTAAAAAATGTCTGGCTCTCTCCCTTAACCGATGAAGAGGGAAATATGTGCACACACACATATAAAGTTTAAACTCAAATTGTTTTAATATAAAAAGGTCAAATATACTTCAGACTACAGCAAAGTTTAGTAAGTGCCCAGAATAGAAACCCCTGAGGGATTAGCACAGAAGGTCCTACACCCTCATCATTAGGCTGCTAAAAATGTAGAACCCTATTAATGTTCTGGATTGTAACAAGTTTCAAAGTTGCCAGTTGCAGAATTTACTTTGGGGAAGGAGTAGAGGTAGAGAGAAGGCAGAAAACTTACAGCAAAAAAATCACCTGACAGTTATTCTAGGGTGTTGGTTTTTAAGTGGTGGCACAGGAATATTTGCTGATGTAGGGGATAAAGCTTACATGATTGAAGCTTGTGTTCATTCATACAGCAGGTAAAGGGAGATGTGGGATGAACATCCTTGCCACTAGGTAGCTGTGACATTAGGAATAAAACACATGAGCACTCCGGGCCTTACTTTCCTCATCAGCAAAATGACTAGAGATTGTCTGAACACTCCATTATTCTTTATGTTATTTGTAGGTGAGGAAGAAGAATCTTCTGGGGTGCATGGGTGGCTCCGTCAGTTGATAAGCATCCGACTCTTGATTTCAGCTCAAGTCATGATCTCACAGTTCATGGGATGGAGCCAGTGTAGGGCTCTGCACTGAGTGTGAAGTCTGCTTGGAATTCTCTCTCTCTCTGCCCCTCCCCCTGCTCATGGTCACACACACTCTCTCTCTCAAAATAAAGAAACAAACTTAAAAAAAAAAAAAAAAAGAGAAGAATGTCCTTTCAGAATATCCCACTGCTCCAAAGGTTTCCAAAACCCTTGTATAAATGTATGTGTGCATATATATATATATATATATATATATATATATATATATATATATATACATATATATACACATACATATATGCATATATATATGTATAAATATCTGCTCATGTGTATACAATGTATGTTTAACACATAAAGACATATACAGAACATGTGCACACAAAACTTAGAACAATGATTTTCAGACTTCTAACCATGCTCAGTCTGTCAGCCAGCCTCTCTTTTGGGCTCTAGTGAGAGGGAACCTATGAATGGATAAGTGTGTTCTAACTGAGGGAGTAATGATACCCTGAAAGGGGGGGTAGTTTTCCCAGGCGGGCCGCACTTGTGTTTGGTGCCCTCCCACTCAGCCTTTCTGGGACCCATCTCTCCATTTTGGTGTTCTCACACACCCACATCTACCTCCTTCTCAATGCTTGAACTCATTCAATTTTTTAGTCACTGTCTCAAAAAACACTATGTCCCAGGCCCTGTTCTAGTCCTGCAGATGTTGTGCAGAGAAGACCCTTCTCCAGTCACTAGGCTTATCAAGGAATCATCAAGGAATCATCTGATAATTAGGAGAGGCTGATCAGAACTCCAGGTGTAAAATTACCTGGAAATCTGCATTATAAAGTACAACACTCGAGAAGACTGGCCTTGCAAAGGGAGACACTAAGGAACTCTGGACACTCTCCCTAACAAAACAACAGTTTAACTGGTAAAAAATATTAAAAAAAAAAAAACCCAAAACCAAAAACCTCATTCATTTAAATTTTCTGGAAATTGTCCTAAAGGTCTAATGACAAATGGAAAAACATTTGTTCGGGAGAAGCTACAGAATCTTGGCAAGAACACTGAGTGTCTGTGGCGTTTGAACCATGGTCTGCTCCATTACCAACCCCTCCCAGCTCTGCTTCATAGAAGCTCCATCTCAGGCAAGTTCAGTCAAGAAGGCTGGGCTCCTTCTCCCACAAGTTGCCATCAAGAAAGTGAAAAGACAACCCACAGCAAAAAGAAAATATCTCAAAATCATTGATCTGGTAAGAGTCTGTTATCCAGAATATGTAAAGAATTCTGACATTCAACAATCAAAAGACAAATAATCCAATCTTAAAACAAGCCACGGATTGACCAGATATTGTTCCAAAGAAAATATACAAAATGCCAATAAGCACAAAGATCCTCAACATCATTAACCGTTAAAGAAATGCAAATCACCCACGAGGATGGCTATCGTCAAAAGGACAGGTGAGAACAGGTGCTCATGAGGCTGAGGAGAAATTGGAACCCTCGCATATTCCTGCTGGGAATGTAAAATGGTGCAGTCACGTTGGAAAAAAGTTGGGCAGTTTCTTTTAAAACTAAAAGTGGGATTAGCATATGACCCAACAATTGCACTCTTGGGCATTTAGCCCAGAGAAAATGAAAACTTATTTTCACGCAGAAACTTGTCCATGAATGTTCACAGCAGTTTTATCCTTAATAGCCCCAAACGGGAAACTATCCAAATGTCCTTCAATGGGTGAATAATTCAACAAACTGTGGTACATCTACAGCCTAGAATACTTCTCAGCAATAAAACGAAATGCACTATCGATACACACAACATCCTCAATGAAATTATGCTAAGTGAAAAAGCCAGTCTCAAAAAGGTGAATACTGCCTTATTTATTTATATAGCATTCGTGAAGTAACATAATTTTAGGGATACATAACAGATTAGTAGTTACGAAAGGTTAGAGATGGGGGAGAAGGACAGGCAGAGAGAGGACAGGTCAAGTGAGGGGGACGGGCTTCTCAGAGGGATGAATTCTCCCCTATTAAGTTTAGAAGTGTAAATCACATCGGAATCATAAACATCTTCAAAATGAGAGGTAATTAACACATGATATCCTAAGCAAAAAGGTAAGTAGATAGGGCAGGCAACTAATCTCAGACACCTTTCCACTTCAAGTCAATAAATGGTTTTGTTACCCTCTTCAGATGGGCATTAAGTTCCCCATTGTGTAGGTGGTGATACAGAAGTTAGAGCAGTTTTTATAAATGGCTGCAAAGAAAAACGCAATAAAGTGACACGGCCTGAATTTAACCTAGAAACCAGGAACCACTCTATGGCTGTAATAATTTTCGCCTTAAAGTTGTGCCGAATAATGGATGGGATACACCCCATTTAAAATGGGCCCTGTAACAATGCAAAATTGAAGTCCTTCCCCCCCATATGAAACACATTGTAGCTGGCGGCAATTCAGTGTACCCGAGGAAGGGGGGGTCAGCGTGGCAAGTGCAGGGTTCCCCAAGTGCCTTCCCCCACAGGAACATCATCCACACCCCCTGGGAACTTTGTGGAAATGGGAATGCCCAGCCCACCAAGGCCCACTGGTGTAGAAACTCCAGAGGAAGGGCCCAGAATCCTGTTGCCACAAGCCCTCCAGGTAATTAGGACGCATCCTAAATTTTGTGCGAAGAGCTCAGAGAAGATTTGAGTTAAGAGGTCAGGAACACAAAGCTTTGTGGGTTAAGCAGCTTTAGACACAGCCAAACCTGGGTTCCCCTTTGCTATTTACAAGCTGGGTGATCTTGGGAAAGTTATTTGACGAAATCTCAGGTTTCCTGGTGGGCAAA